CGGAAGACCCACACCAGCCATCGTATTCCGGCCGTGAAAGCCTTCGACAATACAGAGATTTTCCTCTTGTTATCAACCAACAAGGAACATCAGCCAATATTATTGGAACTTTAGGGTGATGAGGACACTAGACATAATTAATGGGAAAGGTGCAGGAGGGCATGACAAGGAAAACCATATAATAACCATCAAATGTAGGATAGATTTTTCCAACTCTGATTTTCACTTTCAAGCTGTCCATCAATTCTTTGCTTTGTCCCTCCCTCACCAACACCTCATAACGTTTTAGAACTGAACCATTTTGCCTTCCATTTGTTCTACTATATTTCACAATTGTTAGAAGACATGTACAAATCTCCTAAAAAGAGGACCGTGTAAACCATTTCTATATACTGCTGTCAAGAAAATTATATGGACATCCCATGAAATTATCAAGAGTCAAGTTTGAGTTTAAGAAGACTTGCATTTAAGATGATATATTCTACAAATTCTATTAACATCTCTACTGCATTAGTCTTTGCTGAGAATTATAATGGTGTTTGAAGATTTCCACATTTTCAGTCTTGTATTCAGAGACAATTAGAAGTGAGAAGGTGGTTAGAGAGCTAAAAGTATATCAGCGCAGATGAAATTATAGATGGCAGCATCCACAAGAAAAAAGGAGAAAAAAACAATAATGTTTTAGAAAAATATATTCCCAATATGCCACATTTTTGGTTTGCCTACTATTGTTTCATAAAAAGGAAAAAGAAAAAGAACTGTTATTGTCTTAATATATTCCAATATATTGAAAAGAATCATACTAAGATTCAGATAAAAGTGATGGACATAATTCATTGCTCTGCATATGGAGATCTGACTTAAGCATGTTAGAAAATCAGAACCCTGCATCTCTCTAGCACACAAGTCATATAAAATCCTCAACATTTTAATAAAAGTATGCCTTCACATGACTACATATATAGGAATGGACCATTTCTACCTCTCCAGCATGGTGGTAAGAGGCGTTTCATTTCAAACATTAATTTGTAAGAGCAGGACAGCTGCTATATTCTGAAGACAAAGTTTCAGATTTTTTTTTTTTTAAACCAGGAAATGTTTTTCTTTGATAACTTAGGAAAACATATTCAAAGTCTTGTTTCAGGCACCATGCACTATTTATTAATTAAATTTGTATGCTGCCCATCTCCCCCAGTGGCCCCAACCCACAACTTTCTAATGCAAAGCCAACATTCAACCCACAATAACCTCCAAATGTTGCAGGCATTCTCACAAAATGGTTGGCTAAGTGTGGCCAGCCACAAAATATCCCACCTCCACCCTTCTAGGATGTTCCTTAGTACCCTAGTTACAATGGTCTATTACAGTGTTTCTCAACCTTAGCAACTTTAAGATATATGGACTTCAACTCCAAGAATTCCCCAGCCAGCACAGGGAAACACTGGTCTATTAGGATTGAGCAAAGAGACAGATTCAAAGTAAAAGTGCATTTTAGAATGCACGTGGGCATACACGGGTCAGAAATACCTTCCCCTTAATCCATGTTTCCCCAGGATTGTGCAATAGAGCCACACACAGCCCCCAAAAGATGCAGTTGCTTTAGGGAGTTTCCCACAAGGGCTACACAAGCATTCACACATCCCTGAATCACACTCACCCTCCAAATCTGGATCTCTGCCCAGCCTTATTACAGTATTTCTTTTCCCAACCAATCCTATTTATATTCTAAGCCTCCCAACAGGGCCCGGGGCATTACTGGGGATAAAAGGGCTTGAATCCCCCAGTTCTCCATTTGTTAAATGTTAAAAAAAAACTTTAACACACCCTAGGAGTCAAGCAGAGCAAACCACCTAGCAAATACCAAGGAACATCTCGACAGAGCAGAGCACTGACTGCTCCTGTTCTAGGAAGTCTGGAGTCAGGTTTTCACAGGAATTACCTTTTCTATATAAACTTGCCTGGAAATCTTGTTCAGCTTTTGAAGTCCTTCCAGTCAAGGTCTTGAGGAACAAGGGAGACTTTGAAACAGCTTCTTTCTTTGGGCAGTTGCAACCAGCTCCTTCTTTACCTGCTTCCAAGCAGACATAGAGTGGTGCAGCTTCAGTGCAAGCTTTTAAGAATCCCGGCCAGCTGCTTCACATTGGGCTAATTATCATTCTTCAGCGTTACTTTCATTGCTTGGCTACTTCGATGTGTGAATTGGCAGAAGCCATACTAGGTTTCCTTTGCAGTCTAAAGTCAGGTTATTTGTATTTGTTCATCCAAATTACATGGCAAATTAGGAAAATGAGACAGGAGCCACAGAAAGGCTTGTTTAGGTAGGTCAAAGAAAGCCTTCTACACTTATTGCAGCTTAATGAATGATTGATCGGAGGCCCATTTTAAAGTTAACTGTTAGTTTATCTTGAAGCCATTTTCAAACAGAGGCTATTTTCATTCAGCCATTTTTAAATGCAGGTGCACAGAAGATACTGTGAGTGGATTCAATTTAATTTCTGCCCTCCACCCCATTCTAACTTATTATGCTTTGGGCTTAGCCTGTTGTATGAACCCAGCTGTTTCCATAGGTCATCATTTACAATTCAGAATGTTTTGGGAACTTAGCCAGTTGCAATTTACTCAACAAACCATGGGTAAAGGCTTAGCTCAAAGTATGAATCTAGTCTTTCTGGTTATTACAGCCTTCTATCTATCTATATTTATATCTGCACAGACAAGCATATTTCAAAGTAAGGGTTTGCTCTGATGCTGCAATCTAGGGCTGCCAGAATTCCCCCCCCCCCTACCAGTTCTCACGTTTAAAAATAATTAAAGAGAGGTTTCTTCGAGAGAGCTATAACCTTTCAAACTATGTCGGAATTCACTGCCCCAGCTATGTGTGTCACAGTCGGTGAACACAGACAAGAACTTTCACTGGAAGTCCTGCCAATATCACGTCAGTCCTCAAAGTTGGGGGGGGGACGGGGAGCCCGAGTGAAAGGACAAACGAATCATCTGAGTCACTCTTCTCACCCTCCCACTTTCTCCAGTGTCACACAGTCCACGCGCAGTCCCCTGCTCGCCCCGCCACCCGTGAAAAGAGTCAGGGCTCCCATATGCTCGAGACCATAAAAAATGCAGCCTCCATCAACAGCCTAGAAAGAAACAATCCCTCTCCGCATTCAGCGCCACGGTGACCCCGAGAGCCGCAAATCAGTAGCGAAACCACCCGATTTCATTTTCAACAATCGCTCCCTTCTTCCTCGCTCTCTTTCACGCTCGGATCTCGAGCCCCGGTGGGACCGAGCGGGTTTAGGGAATCCACCACAGACTAAAAATCAGCGGCAATAAAGAGGAATCGGGAGGGGGCTGCGCCGACCCCTCCCGAGACTGGAGGTGTCCCAGAGAGTGGGGCGTTTAGGGCGAGAGGGGGCCGCGCGTGAGCTGGCGGGGGCTGCCTTCCGCAGGGCACCGCGGCCCATATTTGGGGGCGCGGAGGAATTACTTTCTCTTCTAAGACGGCAGGCAGGATGGGGGGCGGGGGGGGGGCGGCGGGGGGGGGGCGGCGCCGCCCCCCCCCGAGACTGGAGGTGTCCCAGAGAGTGGGGCGTTTAGGGCGAGAGGGGGCCGCGCGTGAGCTGGCGGGGGCTGCCTTCCGCAGGGCACCGCGGCCAATATTTGGGGGCGCGGAGGAATTACTTTCTCTTCTAAGACGGCAGGCAGGATGGAGGAGGAGGAGGAGGAGGAGGAGGGCGCGATGAAGTCCGGGGTGCCGAGACAAAGCTCCCTGGGAACGAAGAAGAGCTTTGACCTCGGGGGTCCCGATGCGTCAACGAAGGAGGGGGGTCATCCGGATTACCCCCTTCCTTCCAAGCGTTCTCTGGACATGGGATCCGAACCAGTGGAACCCACCAAGTTTTCCTGGGAAGCGGCGCCCAAATCGAAGGAATGCCTCGAGCAGGGTGGCTTTAGAGCGAAACGCCCCTCCATCAGGTCCGAGTCTAATTTAGGGATTCAGTCCGGGCAGAAGCGGCGGAATCTATTGCCTAGCAGCGAGCTGCCCCACGCGCAGGGAGAACAGACCGCCGGGCGACCCCTGCTTTTCCGCCCCGATCTCGGCCCCCTTTAAACGCTCGCGGCCCCTCTTCCCCAGACGCAGACCCCTCACCTTATAACGCCGCTTCTCCTTCATCCGACCGCCGTGCTTGTCCATAACGCGCGGTGCCAGGCGGGCCGGGCCTCCGCTCTGTTGCGGGTGGCGGGATTACGTAGCCCCAACAGGAA